GGAAGTGTTTGTTCATTGTTTGTTTTATCGTTGGTCGACATTGGAGATAGCCAAAGACGAAAAATACACAGAGGAAAAAAGAGGGGGAGATGGAAAAGACAAGGAGCCCCCGACAAAGATTTTGGCAGTAAGAAAGTAGACACGCCCATTCTCATATGCCCTAAAGTCTATTCCTCAGGCAAGCTCGAGATTTAAGGGTGGTTTGTTTATTTGTTTGTTTGTTGCATTAAAATGCGGTTTAAGGGAATGTATGTCGTGGAATAAAATCATTAATTATACGAGGAGAATAATTTTAATCTTTTTTTAATATATTGCGAATGGGATTTATGATTCGTTTGAAGTGTTTTTTTTTTTTAAAAAAAAAAAGTGAAAACGCTTTTAAAGAAGGTGGTTTTTTTTGCTCTAAAAGCACGTAAAATACTTTATACAAGAAACATTATTTATATGTTTCTTTCAAAAAACACTTCAAATGTTCTTTCATAATTCATGCAATTTTTACTAATAATTGTACCAAAAATATTTTTACCAAAATTTCTTTTAACCAAATTAAGCACTTTCAAACGAGACGTGGGCTTAGGGTTTTTGATGAGTTGGGCACTTCCAATTTCAATGTTAAGAAGTAAGAACTGGTTCTTTACGCTTTTATGGGGAATAAAATATAGCCTATGGTCTTTGGTATTGTATTGTTGTTAGACATCACAATGTCAAAAAATATGTACCATATGTTTATGGACCAGCATACTGTTAATTATATGATTCATATCTTTCTTTTACTTTCATGAATTTGGTCCTATATTTTACATAATTGATTTCCATTTGTACATATATATAGTAAGTCTTTTATTGGATAAATGTATATATTTCTAATTAAGTAGTTTTGTGTGGCTCCAAGGAACATATATACATGCCAGAAAAGTATTGCAACATATATCTAAATATGCGCAAATAACTTTTTGTTAATTTAGTTCAAATGAATAAAGTATTATAACCATTCAATTTCACCTTTTGAAAATACAAAAACTAAAATTGAAGATACTATCTTTTAGGAATTTATTTGGCTCCTCGTTAGATGAGAAGTTCCTTCTCAATTCACTTCGTGACCAATTCATGGAACTTCATGTTTATGATTCGAACCATTCATTTTACAAAATCATTCTATAAAGATCATCATACAAAAAATTGATTATCGTTTAGTAGTTGAACTATATAAAAACAAATGCGCGAATTCAGTAAAATAATTAGAATGATCTTTACTTAGTGATTTATAAGATACACGATTTCGATCATAAGCAAGAAACTCTACGACCAAGCAATTTTAGTTTTAATTGATTTTTTTATAGATGATTTGTACAGAGTGATATATAATATAAACAGTTTAGATCATAAACATGAATTTGCACTAATTGAATTGAGGAGAACTTCCTCCTCAATCTTAAGGAGCCAAGTCTTTCTTCATTTTTACGAGTGTTCAAATTTGGCTAGATTTGAGTTTTTCAATTTTTTTACATTTTTTTTAAATTAAAAAACTGAACACTTCGGTAGATAATAGTATAATAAAGAAAACAAATCTATTGTTTGTACTTTAAAATCTAATTGTGCATTCGTTAGTTTTTTTTCTAAATATAAAAATTTAGATTACAAATTAAAATTTTGAAATATCAATAATAATTTCTTTAAAATATGCAATTTATGGTTGTTTGCTTTTAATTTGAAATTCCTCCTCACCTTTGCTTAGGGATTTCCGGGGTGAGGGGGGAGTCCAAATATATAGAATGATAATCCTAGGAAATTGCAATCATTCTCTTGGAAGACCTGAGATTAGGGATCTCCAAACCCTAGATATTGACCTCTCGAAAAGTGTGTACCGTGCGAATGTCGGTCGTCTCTCTACTCTCACGGGTATGGTAGGGAGATTTTTTAATGTGATCGTTACACGTAACATGTTATTATATAAATAATAATAACAAATAATGAGATATGTGCATTTAAAAGTTAATAATTTAAAAAATAAAATTTCTCACCACTTCTATAAAAACACGTAGTGTACCACTCGTACTCCGATCACAATAAAAAATTTCTCCTCACGGGTCATCGTCCTCACATTTACCACATTTTTTATTACCTATTTAATTACTTAATTAGACAGTTAGGGTTATAGCAATCCTACAAGCAGATAAGGTTTCAACGCATACATCATCCACAATAGTCTCTGTGGGTGACAACAATTCTAGTGATGCCAATGTTAAATTTTGATCATCCTGACTATCAGTTCTGTAATCCTCATAATTAGCTTTGTTATTATTATAATCGTAAACTTCAATTCACGGATAAATTCGTTTTGGACCAAGTCTTTCGGTGGGGCCAAGATTCATTTTGAGAAGATGACTTGTAACGTTGTTACACCCCATAATTTTATTTGTTAGATTTTACTAAAACATTATACCATACGTATACCAAAATATAAAATATGAAATAAAATCTACATCTGGATGTTAATATACGGATAGAATTATGTGGTTGTATTTTAGAGTGTCAATTACAACATGTTTTAACCACGTATGACCAATGTTCATCCTCTTTCATTTTACTTTCAAGATTTGCATTCATTAGAATAACTCTACGAGTTTACACTGCTGATTTACTGACCAGGAGTTAGAACTGGCAATTGAAATTGGCATTTAGATAAAAGTTCGAATATTAACGTCTGAATTAGGAAGGAAGTTGTAATATATACATATTCCTTGATTGCTTCTTCATGGTTATCTTAAATATCTGGCCTCTCCTAAATCCGTAACAACAGTACTGCGCGCTGACCGAAATGGAATTTGGAGTTACGTACGGACTAGTAATTCATCAATTCCGTTTCCATATTAACCTAAAAAAAGTTTGCAGGAAACACATAAATACAAAAAGAACAAGAAGAGAATTCAAACCATACTTGCAAGACAATCACGAAACCTCTTGCAGTGACTCAGGGTAAGGTGGCTATCTCTCAATAATTCCTACACTGACAAACTGACTCATCATGCAATGAGTTTATGAGGATTTTTTTTTTTTTTTTTTTTTGTTTGAGCAAAGAGTTTATGAGTTAATACTCAACATTCTTTCTTATCATTTAATTAGCAGATCATTTAATTGAGGCTATTAATTACTTACTTGAACCCTCTCGTACAATTTTTAAAGTCCTTTCTTTTTGTATTTTTTATAGAACGATATATGGTGAGAGAATAAATTCGTATTGAACTCTAGAATTCATGATATTCAAATCTAAGATCTCTCAATTATAAGTGATCTTACAAGTGAAGAAAAATATCATTAAACCATAATACTAAGTTAAGAGTTTTATTTGAGAAATGTTAAGGGGTCTATCTCAAAAGTGGGACTCTTCATAAACTCTCTATCATCTCATATTTTGGCACAATATTTTATAATGTAGGTACAAGAATTAACATTAAACTGTGAGATAGCAGAGAACCCAATAAAATCCCACTTTTGAAAGAATCCTCTTAGCATTTCTCGTTTTATTTTCAGAGGCATATTTAAAGGGAAAAAAAGGAGAATTCCCATCTTACTTGTGAAACTCATTTCATCGTCCAGTGAGATAATTACATGCGAATTAGGAGAGGCCTCTCGAATCCCGCGGAAAAGAAAAGCATGATCTCACCCGCATTCAACGAAGCGGGTAATGCCTCGGACCACAATCCAGAAGAGGAATTCACCTTTGTTGGACTTGCATATCAAACACGCTCAAGCGAAAAATGGCCGAGAGCTTAAGGATCAACTAACGGAAACTTCCGTTAATTATGACTTAATCATAGGCCAAAACCTACAACGTATTCAGAGATTCAAGACTCGATGGCTCATAATTATATTAATCACTAAGTCTCTGCAAGTCAAACGACTAATGAATTAATGGACATGATCATATTCCACCTATGAACGCATACCATGCACATACACTTATACAAGTTTTCATTGTGCTCAACTTTAAATGACATGAGTTCTCACCATAAGAGGTAAGTGTTCGTTCACCAAGAAACCTTAACTCTTTCTACTATGTCTAACTTAGTCATCAGAGGGTGGCTCACACCACACTAGTGAGACAAGAACTCACATGACATATCATTTATTGATTTCATGTCACAATCGATATTTTATACTCGCATGGAACTTAGTCTCTACATTATTTTGAAATTGAGAAAAATATATAGGATCTTTGCACAAACTTAACTATCTAGTTTTGCAAAATTCATATAAAGTTGAAATTCCATGTCTTTTGCTTAAATTATTTAAGTTGTTATGCTGTTAAATTAATAATCTAAACCACTATATATGAAGTGAATGGTTGTTTGAACGTTCGTGTGATTCAACTTATTTTTTTGATCAAACAACGAATCATGCAAAATAACACACCTTTAGTCTAAATTTATTTTAAGTGAATGGTTGTTTCAACGTTCATTTAGTTAAACTAATATATATGCCAATTCTATGTACGCTTTTTATGATTTCTTAATAAATTTTCATTACCTTAAAACTAACTCACCAAATTACAATACAACTATACATGGATGGTGGATCCCAATTACCCAATGCAGTAAATATACACCTATGATACTTGTATATAAACCTTGGCAGATAGGTTGATGGGACGGCGAGAAATATATTGTGTACTCAAGACTCACGCTAGTGAGATCCAATTTTTTGTTTACTTAATTAATAGGAATTGCTACCACCTTTTCTGTCCCACTTTGAGATAAAGCAAAAGGAGAGAAAAAGTAAAGAAGAAAAAGAAAAACATAAAGGAAAGGGAAGAAAGAAAAAAGCAAATCAGAGTAATAAAAAAAGGAGCTAACTAGCAAGATAAAAGAGAGAGGAAACAACAAAGACAAAGGCTCTCAAAACTCCATGATTATTCCAATTCTCTTAAAAGCAGGACCTGGGTTTTCCTCTCCCTCTTGCTAGCTAGTATACAAAACCACTACTACTTAACCCAGTGGAGGCAGACCTCTCAAAGTTTCTACAGACTTGTTTTGGGAGCTTCAGAAAAAGATCCAAAAAGCTAAGGGAGCTGCGAAATCCTAACTTGTAGATAGGAAGCTTGCTCAGCTGATTAGCTCTCATTCGGAATCAGAAGATAACGAGAGGCATGAATAGAGGTGGTTGCCAGAGCTCACCGGTGCAACAAATGATGGCCGGAAACCCTAATTGGTGGAGTATCAACAGCATGAGGCCACCAAGTACCCAACCATCTATGAATATTTCTCCTTTCTTTCATCCCCCTTCTCCTCTTCCTCCTAATTTTTTAATCCCACAATTTGCACCCAACAACAACAACAACACTTCCGCCCCTTCTTCAACAATTTCTTCTTCAGGACTTGGCATTCCTTCTTGGCATATTGAAAATAACAACCAGGAGCTTCCAGAGTCTTGGAGCCAACTTCTCTTGTAATTATATTTTCTTAATTAGCACTCCTTTTTATCTCAACACAAAATACATAGCTGCTTTGCATGCATGGACTCAAACTTTGATATTTTGTTATGGGTGCTGTTAAAAGTGTCATTCTGCAGTTCTCTCTATACAATTTTTTTTTTCTCTTTTTTCCTATCAAATTTTAGAATATAAAAATGACATTTTTGAAGTGCTAATAATAACTATATTTGTTATATAGATCATCAAGTACTTAATTATTAATTTTGATATTTTTTTTCATAAATCAATGACTTATTAATGGATGTGTGGTTGTGAATTATCAGGGGTGGATTGGTAGGTGAAGATGAGAAAGGGGTAATCATGAGACAATTTCATCAAGCTGCTAAGAAATTGGAAAATTGGGAGGAGCAAGTATTAAATAGCACTCAAACTCCAAATGCTCCTGCTGTGGACGTGAAGCAAGAAAACTCAGGAAGCAGCGGTGGCTTTATGTACGGACATCATCATCACGGGAATGATCACATCCAAGATTTTAACCCATCAGCTGCAGCTTTGTCTTCTTTGTCTCAGATTATGCAATCAACTACTCCATCTGCAGCCTCATCTCCTAAGTCATCGTGTGTGACGAGTTTCAGCAACAACAATATGTTGGATTTTTCTAGCAAGTCGGAAGTGAGGCATCCACCACCACATCGATCCTCTGATCAGGTAATTAACACTTTTTACATACAAGTAATTAACCCAAGAGAGAGAGAGAGAGAGAGAGAGAGAGAGAGAGTCCATGGTAAATTCTCTTTCGATACGAAAATTACACATTCTTGATTTTCTAGGGTTTTCCAAAATTATTCATTCCTTTTTTCTTTCAAATAAATTGAACTGGTTATTCTAAATACATGCTTTGAATGTGATGAGCGATGAGCTTAATTTTTTAATCTCAATATATGCGCATTAATATGGAGTCATCAAATGAATTATAATTTATTTATCATGTGGTGCTTTTCTCTTTCCAAGATTTTTTACCTTTTCTCTTTAAGTAGTTCATTAAGTCCTTAAAATGGCAATGAAATGAATCAGCTCCCGTTTTTCCCCTCAAATAGCCATAAACTGGTTTATTTAGTATAAATTAAAGTGCTAATCGGTTAAGAACTTAATACGGGGGTGATCAGTAAAATTCACTGAAGATTTTTAATTAATATTTATCAATGTACTCCTTTTCTTTGGCAGAAAATTGTACTCATTTTTCATTTCTTTCTCTTCTTTGTTCTTTGTTTCTTTTGTGAAGTGTAACAATGGTGGGGCGCTTAAGAGAGCAAGGGTTCAACCTTCTTCAACCCCTACTACCTTCAAGGTAACGCTTACAACTGAACTAATTACTCTCTCTCTCTCTCTCTCCCTCTCTCTCTCAGTACTTCTTTCACACAAGAATAGACAGGCACAAACACACACGCACCTGTAGGTGGAACTGTGGAAGTATATAGTTGTCTTTCTCGAATGTCCATTTCTGATCAATCATGATGATTCTTAATCTCTTGTGTTTTAACCACAAGAGACCTCCACCCCTTATTTATGATGGATTCTGTCTACATTCAGGTGAGGAAGGAGAAATTAGGTGACAGAATTACAGCCCTTCATCAGCTAGTTTCTCCATTTGGGAAGGTACGCCATTGCTCTTCCCCCTCTACCCTCTATCGTATGCAGCCAAAATGCCTAAAAAGTTGTTTAAGATTAGTGGTTAAAAATGAAATATTGTATATTTTGCACATTACTTATCGAATTCTTACTCAAAAAACTTATAAAGTGAACTTTTTATCCTGCACTCTCATATACAATTTTTTCCTTGTACTTTATATAAATTTATACTGTGTGATAATTTTTTAAGTGTCAATAATGATCCCTTATTTATATATACTATTACTACTATACAACGAAGGGCTTTCTCTTTCACCTTTAAGCATTAAAGAAGACATGCAAGCAAAGTATTGAGTATGACTTTGGAGGGTTGTGGTGTGGCTTTTTATCTCTTTTGCAGACTGACACAGCCTCTGTCTTGTTAGAAGCTATTGGGTACATCAGATTCCTTCAGAGTCAAATTGAGGTAACCTCTCTCTCTCTCTCTCTCTCTCTCTCTTGACAGAGGCCATTTAGTTGGTACTTGCAATTGGCCGTGATGGCACACAACCACACCGTTAAAGTTCCACTCTCTTTAGTTATTCCTTCAATTAATATTCTCTCTCTCTCTCTCTCTCTCTCTCTCTCTAGTTTTTGAAGTGCTACAAATACGATTCGTTTCATGCTTCTCTCTTTTTTCCCCTTGGATGCAGGCCCTCAGTTTACCTTACTTGGGCAGTGGATCAGGAAACATGCGGCAGCAGCCACAGTCTGCAGTAAGTAATATAAAAACAAGAAACAAAATCGAAAACTTGTGATAGCAACCACGTCATATAATTTAAATAAATAATCTCTCTAACTTTAATCTATTTTTTTCCTCTCTTCCCCAAGCAACATCTCCACCCCCTTCCTCTATCTTCTTCTTGCACGTGCAAGACTGTATACATAATATTCAGTAGTTATATCTTAGCCCCGTAATTGATTGATAATGGTGAATTAATTAAAAGTTTCTTATTAATTAGGTTCATGGGGAGAGGAATTGTATGTTCCCTGAAGATCCTGGTCAGGTATATACACACATGCTAACTTTTATTGGACCCATATTTACATCTTGAAATTGGGAAAACCTACAAAGCGATACAACTATGTATGTATTGTTGGAGAGATTATATATTGCCACCAATTTATTTGGACGGATGATATATTTTTTTAACACGTAACAAATATTTATTGAACAATGTTGCAGTATCTTGTAAGCAACTAAAGATAACTACTGTTTAAAGAGCATACAAAGCCATGATCATCTTTAAAGCTTTCAATCTTTTTAAATAAAGATTAAAATGAGAGAGGAATACATTATCATGTAATATTATCTTATTCAGGTCAAACTAATTACTTAGTCAATGCTAATTAAGTTGCTAAGGCTTTTGTATTATATGTTGTTCTGATCACAGCTGCTCAATGACAATTGCATGAAGAGGAAAGGAGCTTCTGAGCAGGTATATATTCCATGCATGCTTTATTAACTTTTAACTTTTTCATATCGAAACTACATATTAATAGAATCTTGATTGTCAATCAAAATTTCAGAAAATTATCTTTCTAATCCTCAATCAAAACTGAACCAAAACAAAAATTATGGCCAATTTAATAATACATGAACCCAAATTTTACTGTTTTTAGTTGAACCTCACAGTAATGTACACATAGCAGCCCTGTTTAAAATTAAATTTATTTAAAAAAAAAACCAACTTCTCTCCTCTTCCTCACTCTCTGCATCTCTTGCCAGAAAAATCCTCAACCGCTCCTTCCACATTCTCCTCACGCTCAACCCCTTCACTTTATTAAAACCACCCAACGAAGAAAGTTCACCGACGGACTACTGCGACAAAAATATGGTTTAGCTTTTTGTCGCAATTAACCCTAATGAAGAGGATTGTTTTGCTAGTATGGTAGCTACGTTCGGCAGCATATTGACACTATATAAAATGTGCTGTAGTTTGTGGATGTGATGAAACGTAGAGAAGAGAATAAAAAAAAAAATTTAATTGCACATGTATTGTGTGTGCTAGTTGCTAGTATCTTTTAAAATAACTTTTAGCTCATTAATTATATACAATTAACTTTGCGTAATTACAATGAAATTAAGCTATACTTAATTAAATTGGTTTTCTGGTTACACATTGTTAGGATCCTCATGAAGAGCCAAAAAAGGACCTGAGGAGTAGGGGCTTGTGTTTGGTTCCAGTTTCATGTACCCTCCAAGTTGGGAGCGATAATGGAGCTGACTATTGGGCTCCGGCGCTCAGCGGCGGAGGTTTTCAGTAAATTAACCGTTTGGTGGCCTACTACTGCTACTCTAGTTAAGGTAGATATCGATGGAGCTTCATGGAAATGAATGATATAACATCATGAGCAGTCACTCTGCTAAATTCAAAAGGCTGATTGCTCATGATGCTATACAATATTTAGTTAATCTGTACGTTTACATACGTACGCATGCATGTGTGCTTAAATTTGGCGGGACTACGAAGTCCTTAAACCTTTAATTTTAAGTTTAATTTATCTATCTTCTATTTTGCTTAATTCTACTGCTTGCTGCTACCATGCTAGCTCATGTCTATCCAGTACTACTAACTAGTAGGAATACTAGCCGTTTTAAATGTTGCAAAGCATCATTTAATTGAATTCTATTCATCATACTTCTAACTATATATAATAGTTGTTTTTGTTAAGAGTATCAATCTCACATCGGAAAAAAAAGGGATCTTGCATGTGGTTATAAGTAATTGAGCTACTTCCAATATTGCCAATTGATTTTGTGGTGGAACCTCAACTTTTTTATGGTATCAGAGCAAGTTGTCCCGCGTGTGAAGCCCAACAACCACACCTGCTCCACGTCACCTAATTTGTCTTATGCATGCGTTAGGCTTGAAAATTTGTCACACGTGAGAGGGCATGAACCTCAACTTCTTCAGTCTTGTCACTGGCATAAGGCAATAAAAAAAAATTAAATATACACATTATAATATGAGTGAATTTGTCACATCCCGACCCGGGGGACCACTTCCTGGGCCTGCTCCACCACTGTAGCACGATATTGTCTGTTTTGGGTCCCAACCAAATTCTATTCATCATACTTCCAACTATATATAATAGTTGTTTTTGTTAAGAGTATCAATCTCACATCGAAAAAAAAAGGGATCTTGCATGTGGTTATAAGTAATTGAGCTACTTCCAATATTGCCAATTGATTTTGTGGTGGAACCTCAACTTTTTTATGGTATCAGAGCAAGTTGTCCCACGTGTGAAGCCCAACAACCACACCTGCTCCACGTCACCTAATTTGTCTTATGCATGCGTTAGGCTTGAAAATTTGTCACACGTGAGAGGGCATGAACCTCAACTTCTTCAGTCTTGTCACTGGCATAAGGCAATAAAAAAAAAAATTAAATATACACATTATAATATGAGTGTATTTGTCACATCCCGGCCCGGGGGGACCACTTCCTGGGCCCACTCCACCACTGTAGCACGATATTGTCCGTTTTGGGCCCCGACCACGCCCTCACGGTTTTGTTTCTAGGAACTCACACGAGAACTTCCCAATGGGTCACCCATCCTGGGAGTGCTCTCGCGCGCTACTCACTTAACTTTGGAGTTCCCATGGAACACGAAGCCAATGAGCTCCCAAAATGCGTTGTGCTAGGTAGGGATGAGAATATACATTTAAGGATCACTCCCCTGGGCGATGTGGGATGTCACAATCCACCCCCCTTAGGGGCCCGACGTCCTCGTCGGCACACACGTGACCAGGGTTAGGCTCTGATACCAAATTGTCACATCCCGGCTAAGGGGGACCACTTCTCGGGCCCGCTCCACCACCGTAGCACGATATTGTCCGCTTTGGGCCCCGACCACGCCCTCACGGTTTTGTTTCTGATAACTCACACGAGAACTTCCTAATGGGTCACCCTACCTAGGAGTGCTCTCGCGCGCTACTCGCTTAACTTCGGAGTTCCCATGGAACCCAAAGCCAATGAGCTTTCAAAAGGCCTCGTGCTAGGTAGGGATGAGAATATACATTTAAAGATCACTCTCCTGGACGATGTGGGATGTCACATAATTGGTAATACTACATGTATAACCACAAAAATAAATGTACTTCTAAGCTCATAGCTCAAAACCTGGCACTTACCATTAATACATTTACTACAAATTTCCGTTCTATTTTACTTAGCGATCTCTTTTGAATAATCGAAAGCAATATCTATTAAATAATGAAGATATATAACTAAAATTCTCTACAAGAATATGTTGAGGTGGCTAGAGGTATTGATGTAACACACACACACACACACACATATATATATATTGAATAGTGAAGATATATAACAAAAATTCTCGACAAGAATATATTGAGGTGACTAGATGTATTGATGTAATATATATTCCAAGAGGAAAAGCAAGAAAAGGGCATTCCAAGGTACAAAAATTAACCCACTTATCCCGACATGCGACCCCATGCGAATTCCATCCAACAATAATACCACGGCAATTTTCATGATTTGAGACGTGTCATCCGTCAAATGGTGGCATGGAAGATGGAACATCGCTTTAGCATGATTGGACTTGCTTGCATGTGCACGGTGATCAACATTTTTTTTTTAAATGATGAACGAATTTGAAAAACGCATAGAATTATAAGTTAGAAGCGGTAATAAATCAAATTTGAAAAACATTAGTCATCAAATTCACATTTGATATTTATTCTTTAACATCTCTATTAGAGATACTTTTATATGAGTTTTCTTTTCCGATTCAAGGCGAAGGATCGATGCAAGAGTTGAATTCTTTAAAACTCCCCTACACAGAAAGGGAACTCTTTTTATACAACTTTTTAAAAATCCTTGGTTTATTGCTCCATGATATACGATTTTGTTGACTATAATTGCACAAATAATGCGTACACACAGTTTCTTAACACAGTTGAGAACATTTTACGCATAGTTCCATAAGGTGATAACAGAATATTTTTAAAACTGTAAAGTTAACCAACAAAATGAAAGTATAGATTCATTGGCTTTGTACTTCTCTAGTTTCTCCTAACGCGGGAATCGGGTTGGAATTGGAGTGCTCGAAATGTGCAATATATTATAGTCTCACTTAATTGAGATGGGACAGTTGAAAAAATCAGAGTAAGTATAACGATCAGGCTAACAAATTGAAGATTAAATGAATATAAATTTTAGAGTTGTGTACCTATTTTTACTTCTAACACGTTCATCTTAATTTTCAGTCGTCAGATCGAATGAATTAAAGAAAATCAATAGACAAAAATTAATAAGAGTGTATGAGAGATAAAATGGGTGTATGGATAACAATATTCTAATTTTATTAACTAGAAATATATTGTAATGACGGATACAATCATACAAACTAGAAAACTACATTATGACTGACTTATTATTTCACGAGTTATAAAGCACCATATTTATAAAGAAACTTAAAGCAAACTCTAATCTTTAACGGGTAAGAAATCATATACTTAACGTGCAAAGAATTCTAATTCTAGCCCACAAAAAAAAAAAAAGCAATAATACTAAAACTAATTTTCCAACTGGGATTTGGATCCATTAACAAGGGCCAGTGGGGCTAGTCAAGCTTAGATTAGTTAAGATCTTAGCAAACTTTTCGCATCTCAAAATTATCTTTGGGCTGTCAATCACCTATTCTACTTGAGAATCGATGCCCATATTTTATGGTCTCTTTTCGTTTCAGCCCATTTTTGACATTGACAAGTTCTCCACATTCAAACCAAAAACGAAAATGAAAGTTCACCACTTGACTCCACGCAGCCACATAATGTAACGTAACGTCCTCCCTTCCATGTGGTTTTGGCCCATTGGGAAGATGGGGAAGGAAAGAGATCATTTTTCTTTGTTTTGTTCCAACTGATGATACCATAATACATATGCCACATTAAGCACCCTGTATGTAGTTGAGAACATTGGTTTGTATGTGTTTATCTTTCTCATCACGTTAATCTCACAAAAGTTTGGAGCTTCAATCCGAGTTCAAACTTTCACGAATGCATCTTTGGATCACTGACTTTGCTTTTGCATACCCTATGACACAAGAGTCAAATTCATGATGTCACCTTACATGATACTGAGACTACATGATAAAATACCTCCTATATTAGAAAAAATCTCTCTTATCACAGTTTAATTTAATTGAGAAAATCTACCGTTTCGTCATCCCTCATCAAATTAATAACAAAATTAATAATAACATAACATCTCTCATCAATACGTTGTAACGTATTATGTGATAAAAAAGATAAACACCTAATTACATACATCATATGCCACCCAAGAATCGCTCCAATACTTTTGTGTGTTGACTTCACACACCCATCGATGAACCATAAGATTCCTAGTGTTTGACCTTCCTACACGTAGACAAATTAATGCAAAGAATATTAATCTTATAATAAGATATTAGTTTTCTTTCACATTTCTTGATTCAATCCCTAATTGTAATTGGATTCTTTAGAACTATTTACAAGAGTGTTAGGTATTGCATGAATATTATTATTCACATAACTAACAAACAAACAATTGGGATAATCAAAATTAGGACGACTAAGCAAGTATTTGGACATACTAAACAGTCTCTGCATGTTCTTCTGAAACATGACATTTGGAGTTAACTTCTAGGTTCTCTATTTGGTTTGAAACGTCCACAGCCAATATGGGCTGAAGCCGAAGGACCAGTTGGAAGTATTCAGCAGCTGACGAAAACCAAAGTCTCCACCTTTTTATCCTCGAAGAATTTCAATCAACAATGTCCTCAAAAACCAGGAACAGGAATCTTCCTGAAACTCGGAAGCTTCGCCCAATGTGAACTCTTCAGATTATGAGTCAGAGTCTTCCCTGGAGGATACTTCTGTAACTTCTTCTTCTTCTCCGTGGATTCCGGAGCAGAAATTGAGGTAATGATTTTTCCGATGTTTACAAGAACACAGAACATAAACTCTGGTTTGATATTACCATGTTTGTTTGTTTGTTTTTTTTTTTTTTTTTTTTGTATTTTAATTCTTATGCTTTTTGTTTTTAATGTGTTGTCTGTTTTCTGAGTTTTTATAGGAAAACAACAAAGAATGGAATTGTTTGAGGCTACACAGAGCCAAATTCAGAAGCT